TTTTACCTGTAAATTGTCTTGCATGTCAATAAGAAGAGTACTTATTTCTTCTGGAAGTTTGTATGCTTTAATGCATAACAAGTAACTGAAATGCTTGATTACACTTCCAAGTGTGATGAAACACTATTCAGCTAATTTATTTCCTTTCTTAATATCCTAACCCAACTAAGAATGCTTAAATGGTATTGAAACACTCTGAATACAAATGGTTATATTTTTAAAGAGTATCCACAGGCTCTGTGTCATATTTTTTTAAACTCTCCATTGCTTTGGCTCCTTTTCTTACCAGTATTGCCTAATTCAGGTATTCTTAAAGCATATATCACCCTGTGGCCTGAACATTCTTCTTCCTTTGAAGAACTATTTCTTCCCCACAATTGCTGGGGGAAAAAAAGAAATCAGTGCACAAGACTACCTGAGTTGAATTATGCTTTCTGCATAATTCAAGAAGAAGAAGAAAACATCATTGTCCCGTCACAGTTCATTTAATCTGAGAGGAAGCACAAATGAGCCTTCTAATTTCTGGTGGAGATGAGAATCCAAATAAAATACATCTGCAGATAGATAAGTACTCCAAGGAAAATATTCAAAACAATACATAAATTCTTTCTCTTCCACTTTCTTTAAGGGCAGAGAGAAAAAAATTGTTTCCCCTCATCCTCTAAGATGTTATCTAACTTTATTTCTAACAAGAGTATTAGAAAGAGTTATGTTTTATCTGGCTATACCTTTCCAGGAACAGTCCTAAAACTTAGTATGAAATGAAAGAAAGAAAAAGTACATCCCAATATATGCTAACATAAGTGATGTGCAATGTATTTTCCGTACTCATTGTCCAATGAATAACCTTCACACAAATCCAATATATGCAATGGTACACAGATCAATAAGCTTGGTAGGCACTCCTATATTAACAAAGTATACAACAGTTTGGCCTTGTGAAATTATTAGCTACATTAGATTATTTTTCTTTGTAAGTAAAGGAAATTTCTATTTGCATACATTGTCTTCACATAAAAAAGAAAATGGGACTTTCTGTCATGAGTATAGTACATTATCAGTGGCTATAACTACAACCCTTTTTTTCTAGTTTACCCTGTTGATTTGTTTTGGGTTTTTTAATCTCACAACATAATTTAAAATTATGCAAACCCCACTGTTTTCCAAGATGAAGCACTGGTTTTCTAAACTTCAAAATTTCAATAGATTGACATAACTTCTATATGTATTGAATAGTTTCATTTCTGAAAGGCTGGAACAAATTTAATACACTGTGGGAGTTTTAACTGGGATAGAGTTAATTTTCTTCATACCAGAAAAACATATGGGCTATGTTTTGGATTTGTGTTGGACACAGTGTTGATAACTCTGTTTCATTATTGCTGAGCAGTACTTGCACAGAGTCAAGGAATTTTCTGCTTTTAACATTATCCCACCAGGGATTAGTTTTATGACAGAAAAAGTATAAGCTTTTATTAAAGCCTGTTTATATCTGCAGTTTGAAGATCTACAGATGTCTTTGTCCCTGGCTGTGAATTATTGAAGTCTTCATAATCAAAGTTTCATCACTCTAAATAATCTGCACAGCCAATTTTTACTGTTTCAAAGTTATCTTTTGAAACCTCTAAGAAGTATGAGTAGAGCTATCCAAATCTAACCAAAATGTTACAGTATCTCCACTGCTTTTGAAAACTCCCAGTGAAAAATGGAACAGCACTTTGCCACGGATTTTTGTGGCACAAAAGAAAGTTTGTCTTTAGATTCTGCCCAGGAAAAATGTGGGATGGAGGAATAAGAGGCTCTGGGAAGAAGAATTCAAAGGGATGGCTATGTCTCAGATAAAGTGGCAGAGATTCACGAAACTTCGAGCAGGGACCTCTGGATTAAGAGTGATTACTGGAATTAAAATAGAGAGGTTCACGATTTGGATACACACAGGATTACTGAGAATAGAAGGGAAGGCTACAACCACAGACTATTCCCTCTTTTGTGTTTGTTCTGAAGCCAGACGAGTGCATCATAGCTATTATATCCATTAAAAAAAAAAAAAAAGTGAGAAGACATAAGATATAATGGAGGAGAAAATTATGGAAGATACACTACAGGAAGGATAAGAATGTCAGAAAGCATTATAGGGAAAAGTACATCTTGACCTAACACAGAAAAAAATAAGAAATCATAAGACCAAGGAGGAAAAAGAAATGTAACACAAAACATTAAAAAAGAAAGTTAATCAATAATATTACCACAGTCATATTAACATCCCTTGTGCCACCTAAATTTAAACTGAGCATAACTACTTTATTTCCTTAATATGCAGAAAGGCTTGGAAGAAATTGTGTGATATAGGTTTCCTCTTATTGCTTTCTGAAATCTTACCCAGTAGACTCTGATAAGCAAAAATGCTCCAGCATAGCAGAATTATGCCAGAACAACAAGTGTTAGGAATTTTTCCTTCTAATTATTTTTTTCTGTTTATTTCCTAACACTAGTATACTTTTAGCCTGTAAACACACACTCTTAATGAAACATGATTAAGTGAAACTTCAGATTTACTTTTTACACTCTTAAACTTTCTGATTACCTTATTTTCAAACAATCTTTCTTACTTTCAGTAGGAGTTCTCCCATATGGTAAAGAGAAGGTGTAAATTAAAGTTATGTCCTCCATAAAATAGAAGTGAAGAGCACCCTTATACTCCTTTTCTTTTGAAAGAGAAAAGCAAAGAAGGAAAGAATTAAAAAAAAAAAAAAAGGAGAAAGAAAAAAGACAGAAGCGAGAAAGAAGACAACAAAAGAAAGAAAACAGTAAAGAAAAAAATTGGTAAGACTGTGAGGAAATTATATGAATATCAAGTTTTGTTATTTTGATCTCCAGTCTATTCATATGCCAACTCATTTATTATTAAAGCATGACATTTCTGAATCACTTACAACATACTCGCTGTTAATGAAATTATTCAGATACATACAAGAAATAATATCAGAAATTAGAATCACTGCAAATATTTTTCTCATTGGAGCACTCAGACAACACAAAGAAAACATCATGCAACAATTCCTTCAAATTTCTAAGAACTCAAAGAGAACAGGAGCTATTGAATTTCCATGTTTATATCTGCAGTATGATACAGTATGAGGCACTCATTCCAAGTCTTTTCATTCACATAAGAGGTGAAATACTGTCTCTGTTGAAAGAAATGAGAGTTTTGCTATTGATTTCAATGAAACCACAATTCTGGTCACTGTACTTTCTCTCACAGCTTAGAGAGATTCTTAACAAAAAATCAGGCAAACTACACCACAGGGATCCAACTCATTATAGTTATTTCCCATCCCACAGAGGGAAGGAATGTTTTCATTCAATCAGAAGACTGTGCTGTTTACCTAGTGCAACAACTTAGTCAATCCACAGTGTTAATACACAAGGGTTCTCCTTTACTTCTGATGTTACAGTAGACAGTGAGAACGTGTTTTTTTTTTTTTCATTGATTTGGTTATTATTCTTGTTAGGAAAACTATTCATAGCCCATTTTCACTGTTTAGGAAAAAAAAAAGGGGAAAGCACACATGAAATGTTAATTTATGAAACATAAGTGAAACCATTTTTGCATTCTTGTGTATATATGTAACTACAAAACAACATAATAGGAGAATGCACACACTTCTTTCCTGATTTGTTCCCATATTCCTGACAGGGTATAAGGGCGGTCAATGACGCCACTGGACTGATTTTGTCAGTGCATCACCTACTGTAATGTAAAATGAATACCCTACTCTAATGTGGAGCCCCTGGTGGTCTAGTGGTAAGGGCGCGGCGCTGTCACCGCCGAGACCCGGGTTCGATTCCCGGTCAGGGCCACTCCCGGGCAGGTGGAGCTTGTTAGCCATTAAAGGCAATCCACCTACGTCCTAATGACCTCGCTGCCACCGTCCAAGCTCGCTTGGCCCCGGCAGATGAACCTTAGGATTAAAGGGTGGGCTCAGTTCCGCGCACACTGTGTCTCACCTAAAAAATCCAATGCGCAGGCTGGAAGGTGGAAAGACCTTCCCCGGATCTTCGCTCGTGAAGACTGGCCATTACTCTAATGTAAAATACCACGCTTAGGATGCAGTAAAGTACCACTCTCTTATGCAGCACTGCCCACAGATTCAAGCCACAGGCTTTCTCCAGCCATTGCTTGCCTATCTCTGTACAGAGAGAGGCAACGAAACTGGTGAAGGGCCTGGAGTGCACATCCTATGAGGAGTGGCTGAGGGAGCTTCAGTTGTTTAGCCTGGAGGATGCTCAGGGGTAACTTTATCACTCTCTAGAACTACCTAAAAAGAGGTGGTAGCCACGTGGGGGTCACTCTTCTCTCCCAGGCAAGTAGTGACAGGACAAGAGGACACAGCCCTAAACTTTAGGGGAGGTTTAGGTTGGACATAATGAGGAATTTCTTCAGAGAAAGGGGTGATTAGATACTGGAATGGGCTGCCCAGGGAGGCGGTGGAGTCACCGCCGGCTGACGCGCTTAAGGAAGGACTGGACGTGGCACTTGGTGCCTTGTTCTAGCGGCCGCGGTGCTGCTGGGCCATCGGCTGGACTCGACGGAACTCAGAGCTCTTTTCCAACCTAACTGATTCTGTGGTTTCTGTGATTTTGTGGTTACCACTGAACAAGCCTCTTCCCCCAGCTGAAAAGAAACCAACCAGCAATCACGCGAAGGCTTTTTAAAGAACTGAAAGATTTTTACGCCTTCTGGGTAAAACAAACAAACAGGTAAAACAAACAAACAAAAAAGTTTGGGGGGGAGAAAGAAAAAAAAAAGCAATGTGGAAGCCCAGAGGCGGGCCTGGGCATTTCAGCAGCGGCGCACGTGCGTTGCTCCCCTCGGGAAGAGGCAGGGATCGCAGCGCACATTCCCCGCGGGATAACGGGGAATCACCGCCTCAGCCCGACCCGAGCCTGGCCCGCCGCTCCGGCCCCGCGCATGCGCCCCGGCTGGCGCACGCGCGGCTGGCGCCCGGCGCCGTTGGAGCGGCGGGACCTGCCTGGCCCGGCCCGGCCCGCCCGCCCGGGTCCCCCCGCGGGCACCGCCCCGGCCTCGGGCAGCGCCCCTGCCTCCCGCGGGTGAGTAACGGCGCCCGGCCACTGGGGAAGGGGCTCCGCGGGGCTGGGAGAGGGCGGGAGAGGAAGGGACGACGCCCGCCCCCGTCCGCAGCCGCTGTCGGAGGGGCCGGGTGCTCCCCCGGGCGGTGCCCTCCCTCTGCCCTCCTCCCTCTGCGGGAACCCCGCGTCCCCTCCCGCCCGCGCATGATGCCCCTGTTGTGGCCGGGAATTGCGAACGCTCGGAAATGCGGTGGCTGGCTCGGGGGAGGGGAGCAGGCGCTGTGAACCTGGGTCCGCTCCCCTCTCTCGCTTTCAGCTCTCGTCAGAAAGCCTCGCTGTGCAGCTGCCCGCGCTATGAACTGCCCCGGGGTGGGTCCGCAGGCAAGCTCCCTGTGATGGAGCTGTCTGAAGGTCTCTTTCTTTTCGTGGCCTGTAGCCCCTCAAAGTTAGGTGTGTGTTTCCGTGTCCTTTCAAAGTAGGAGAACGTTGGCATGTCGAGGTCAAATACTCACATATAATATAACGCTGCCTTACCACCTTTGTTTAGAAGGAAGAATCCAGCAGGACTGTGTTTTGTTAGTGCTGCTGCCTTTCTTAAATTCAAGTCACTTTTCTGTTGTTTGAGTGATCCATGTCAGGATTGTCATATTTCAAATAACTCTTTCTGAATTGGATGGACCAAAAAGAAATCTATTATTGGAATTGGTTAAAAAAATCTTTTTAGTATATAAGCACAGCTATAAGACCATATTTAATGTCTTCTTCCATCTTTAATGATTTTCAAGGTATTTTAAAAAAAAAATTCAGAAAAAGAGTTTTCATATCCAGAGACTTTTTGAGAAATTTTCCCTTTTTTTTTTTTTTTTTCTAATACTAGAAACATTTCAACTTCTGTTGCTTTTATACATATAGTTCCCAAGACCAGAATGTACTATGTAAATGAAATGGTTTAGACACTGTTATCAGCCCTCAGGAAAGTTTACAAAATCTCACCTGGTCAATCACGTGGTAACCAAAGTAATGTTTTTAGGTGCACATCTGCGCTGTAGCTCCAGAATCAAGGGCTTTTAAGGCCTAGGAGCTCCAGCTCTGTCTAGAGCTGGTCTGTCACTTCAGGGTTTTCAGGGTCTTTGAGCTGGGAAAGCTTGGTAGAACATAAGCTTAGATAACTTAGCTGAGAAGTTCTGATTCCTTGCATGATCTACCAGCCTCAGTGACTTCTGGATGACCTTACCCTTGATCAATAAAATCAGATTTTCAGACCTCTGTTCTATATTGGATTTCCATTTGTTGTGTTTAAGGAACATCAGAGTAAGTAAATTACAGTATTTGCTCATTCTTACTAAAATAGATAAATCTGCTTTATCTGGACATACTTTCTTTGCATTGCATATTTCTCTTCTGGAATCAGTAAAGCTGGAAAACAAAACCCATTGGGCAGGGCATGGAAAGTTGAATTTGGTCAGAATCATCTGACCAAAATTATCTAGAGTTATTAAACCCCCTACCTGTTTGTTTGTTTGTTTTTGTTTGGTTTGGTTTTTGTTTTATTTGCTTTTTTTGACTAAAGAAACATCCTTATTTTGGGAAACAAGTTGGGAAAAAAAACCTCTCATCATCTGTCCATCTGTACGCTTTTTTTCTTCATACAGTGGAAAGGATAAACAGAAGGTTTGCCTGCAGGGTAACTTAGGGGTATAAAAAGCTACAGTGCGGGAGAAAAAAAAACCCATACTGTCAAGTAAGAGCTTAAATGAGACAAGTTATCCTTGAGACAGACTTTCTGTTAAGTTTGGGGAAGAATTAAGAAAATACTTCTGTTTTTTTATAGATGCTTTTTTATTATTATTTCTTCAGGGAGGTATTAATTTTTTAAAAAGAACATCTAGAGATTTTACCTACTGTGATGAGTTTCATATTATTTATTACCAATGAAAACCAAATTAATTTGGAACAGAGATGGTCATAGTGGAATAGATACATTTATGTTCATCTTGTGCTTTTAATTCTGTATAGCAGCTTATAAAAAGTAAAATATTGTGTCAGAATTTTTTTGTTTTGAGAAGAGGACTGAATATTATGGAATTATAGGTTCTACACTTTCATGGTAAAGCTTCATATTTTTCTGATGTGTAATGAAAGAAACTGTAGTATCTCTACTTATTAAAGGAGAAACCAAAAGGCATGTAAACTAACTTATTCTTCCTTCTAACCTGTTACAGATGACTTTTTTTCTTTTAGAATTAATTGAGTAGGCAAGATAAAGAGCTCAAACTACTTAGAGTTTCGGCTGGTACACCTAGATGGGTCAACAAACTTGGAGTTAGAATCCAAAAGCTTCTGAGTCAGAGTAACTGCATGTGAGATGTTAATGTGCATAAAGCTGAAGTTATTTGGGCTGACTTTTTCCTAGTGAGAAAAGCAATTGCTGTTAGATCCAAATGGACCCAAAAGTCCAAGGCAAGGTACTTCATAAGTATAAAGGAATGACATGTACCTCAGTAAACTGCAATCATACTCCAAAATTTGAACGTCCATGACAAATGCAAAATCACAACTATGCTTTCTTTAATAACTGTTGAATCAGAAATGTATTCTAGGTTTTTTCCAGCTCCAAGGATAGATGTAACTTTAGGTAGCTGTTTTACAGGGCATATTTACTCAGTCTATTTCCCTGGTATTACCATTCTCCTGTGGCACCAGCATTGATGAGGGTAGTTTATCTGTCACTGTCTCTGAAAAGTAGATCTGAACAAGAGTAAAGGACAAATGAAGCACTGCCTACCTGTAGCTCTTCAATGCAGCTTTTACAGTATATGTGTCTCTGCCAGGGCTAAATTATGTCATCATCACTGAGACTGATGTCTTCCCGAAACAGAAGCCTTTACCATAGATATCAATTACTTGTTATAAAAGTTTTGCACTTTGATGCTGAGCCTCTGTATAAGCATACTAGGGGTTCATTAGCCACGTGAATAATATTGTTTCCTTAAAAAAAAAAAAATCCTGATCCTTTAGAAAATTAGTTTATCTGATCAGAATATTAACTTAAACTACCAGGGAGAGGTAGTGTAATATTCTCAAAAAAAGACTGAAAGGGTCATGAAAAGTAGTAGGAGTAGTTTGAATGTATTTAATTTCTTATTGGAAGAAAGATGTTATGCACTCCAAATAATTTCTTTGACAAAATTCTAAGATTTTGGGATGGGTTGTTAGCTATAGAAAGAGAACCCTATAATTTGATGTAAAATGATGTGAAATCTGAATTCAAAGTCTTAAGTACTATAAGCATATATGCTGTTAAATCATTTTCCCTGACACTAGCCGAAGGTATGATTTCAAACAAGCCACTTGGGCAAAATGAACAGCATCATTTTTGTACTCTTGCATTTCTCCCTCTGTTCTTCTTTGTTGACTTTAGTGCTGTGATACTCATTCAGCTGAGTCAGCTCTCTAGCAAGGTCAGAGTGCACAGGAGTTTTCTTGTTGTTTGTTTTTGAAATGTTAACAGGGGTTTGCTTTTAAAGTGAAGGAGTGACCTTGCTGTGAAAACAAAATGAATCCCAGAAGCAACTAGGAATAGACAGTAGTATGAAGGGATTAATATTGGAAATGGAAACAGAACTTCCCCTTTTGGCAGTGTATTACTGCTAATCCAATTCAGGCTATAGTGTTGAAAAGCATATTCTAAAATTCCTTATCCAAAATTATCACAAGAGTAGCAAACTGTGTTGTGACAACTGAGCTATATGTTAATGCACTATAACATTAGTAAAGAGCACTGATAGGAAACTAAGGTAAGATAGTTAATAAATATCATAAAATGACCTGTGTACATCTCAGTAAATTAAAATAAGATTCTAAAATTTGGAGGTCATTGACAGAAATACAAAATCACAGCTATGTTATGTGTATTGGCTCTTGAATCAGAAATGTAGATTTTCCAGTTTGGTGTTGTCAGTTTTATGCATAATCTTGTTCCACATAATTCGATGGTAACCTAAATTTTGTTAATCCTTTTCTCTGGTTCTCTTGTGATAATGTTGAACAGGACTTAAAGTTATAAATAAAGCAATCAGGCATTCCATTATACTGATTTTCTTGCCCCTACTTTCAGGGCTCAAATCTTGCTGTGTGCTGTTGGTTTTGTTTTGAATTTAGCCCTGGAATCCTACATGAAAGACCAGGCAGCTGTGGCATTGTACTAACTGGCTGTCAGCAGCTAACTTGCAGGCTTTCTGCTTGAGGTACATCCTTAGTGCTATGTTGGTTTTTACTTACATAATTCAGAAAACAAGTTAGAATCTTAGATCTATGAAGTTGCAAAGCATCATTTTTTGAGTTTAATTTGCTGAAGTATTTGGTTAATGTATTTGGTAACTAAACACAAGGTAGTTGGTCTGAAGCCAGTAGTTAGTAAATAGATTAGTAAATGAAACCTGCATTTGGAACATAATCTGTAGTTCCATCATATCCCATTTTGTCCTTTACTCTTGTTCTGCTCTATTAGTCTCCTTTCATGGCTTCTGCTTTTTAATTTTCTATGCTATTTCTACCAGAATAACACTTGTCAAAGCATAATAGTTCTGAAACAATGTAACCAGGATTTCCATTTCATGGGATTTACCTGGGTTAGAATAACAGTGAAGTTCAAAAGTAAGATATTTTATGAAATATTTGAGTCCTTGGTGGTAGAACCTCAGAATCTCATGTTCTCAAATAAAAAAATGGGGTTTTGTTTGTGTGACCCCCCACAAAGGTCTGTTAGTTACACAGTCAGTGTGTGCATCACAGTTGTCTGCATGTTATTTCTATTATGTAGAGACTTTATGAAGCATTTCATACTGTTGAATTAGGTAATAAGAAATCTGACTTTAAAATATTTGTCTTTTGGTCAGTTGCAGCCAAAATCCTTCTCTTGGGATTCTGAACTATGACATCATGGCAAGATTTCGCAGAAGAACATGCATCATTTTGTTGCTTTTTATTTTGTTTATTTGCTCCATAATGATGGCTTTGAAGACACTGAGACCTGACAGAGCTGGCTTTGGGGATCCATTTGGACTTGGTTTGTTGCCTGAGCTTCAGCAACGGACAGTTCTCTTAGACAGTAAACAGAGTTCACTAAATAGGATTCAAGGAGATACTGTAACACGTGTCACTAATTTGCACGGTATTGCTGTCAATACTATGAAAGCATCTATGCCTCCTGTAAATAAGATGGAAGAAGAACTGTCTTCTCCTAATTATAACTTTCACATATTTTACTATACTTGGTATGGAAATCCACAGTTTGATGGTAAATATATTCACTGGAACCATCCACTGTTGCCACACTGGGATCCTAAAATTGCAAACAATTATCCAAAGGGAAGGCATAATCCTCCTGAGGACATTGGGGCCAACTTTTATCCTGAACTCGGATCTTACAGTTCCAAAGACCCTACTGTCATAGAAGCCCACATGACACAGATGCGTTCAGCTTCAACTGGTAATAAGTGTTAACATTTCAGCATGTTGTTCATTTATCCAGCCTTACATATGTCAATGAACACAACTGGCCCATTCTTCTGTTTTTTTCTGTATAATTCAGGAAATGGTCTGAAACCAGTAAATGTCTTTGTATCTCTGAGTTTTAACCCCCAGCTGAAACCTACATCTTCAGAGCTTTGTCTGATGAGTGTCACAGCACAGAAATACAAGAACAGTATTTGTAATCCTGTTAGGTACATGTTTTTTGTGACTTACTGTTAAGCACTGATAACATATTTGGAAAACGCAGAAACCATTTCTGGAATATATTGTCTGTGTATTAAACTTCAGTTTTAAGACCAGGTTTCAGAAAATCATGTTAACATGCTTAGGGAGCAATCTGTTCAATGACTGAGTGGGGTTTTTTCTCTGAATTCTGTGTATGCAGTAACAAATAGATATTAATTCATTAATTGTCCAAAAGTATCTTCTTTCAATAGAAATTGATGTTCCCTTTTTCTAAGTAAGATGAACTATATACATAAGAATATTCAATATCCTTTTGGTGTCATTCTTTGTTGTTGAGCTTTCTGGTCCTTTTTATGTTAAGCCTCTTTGAATTAGCAGTCATATAGACTAATATTAAACTCTGAACAACTTCTGTAAATGTAATTGGGGCAACATGACCAGAACTCATAGTGTTATTCAGGCAGCTGATCACCTGGTATTGAATCCCTTTCATTGACCTAATCATTAAGGTTTTAAACATTTTTAAACAATATTGGTTTTAGTGTCAAGTCCATTCTCTTTTAGACTCCTGAAGTCGTACGTAACTTTATTTTTTAACCCCAAGAAAGAAAGTATTAACTAATCTTTCTCAGGGAAAGATAAATGTCAAATTGAGTTTAAGTCCCTTGATCAGCAATTCCATCACCTGAACTTTTATGTGTTTCCTAAAGGTATAGAAGAGTCTTGTCGGATGTATTCAAGATACCCAAGTTTGTTGCTGCTGTTCTGATTGTTCTTTCTATCTTACTCATTTGAATTTGGTTCTCTTCTTTTGCGTAAAATAAAAGATAATGTGATAAAATGCAGTAAAATATTGCATTATTCTTGTTCTTGAGCAGACTGTCTCTTGTGATAATCTGTGATTCTCTTTTTGATAAAGTGTGGAGGGAATGGAGATAGTTGAACTACCTTCTGTGTATAGTGAGCTCAGACTTCTGGTTTGGATGTTCAGATGTGATTGTGTATTGACTCTAATTTATGCTTTCTTTTCCTTATTTTGGAATTGTTTGTTTGGAAACTTTTAGTCAGAAATGTTATAATTTTAGTAAAGTAGATGGAATTTAGAGTATGTACTTCCTACATACTTATTTGTTTCCTTAAATCTTTACCTACTTAAAAAGAATCATATTGACTTATTCTTCCATATATTTTAAATAACGTTGTTAGGAAAATATTTCTACATCAGTTATTTCATGTATTTTTTTCAGATTTACCTTCTTCTTGACATTATTTCCAGCTGTACATCTAAAAGATCTAATTTGTTTATCTGACAGCATTTTATTTTACAAGGAAAGGGTTTAGCCTTTCTGAAGAGGTATGTGTTCTTTTGCTTTCATGGAGAGCTTTAGAAAAATTTACAGTATCAGGTCATTCTATTTGTTGTCTTTTTTTTGCCACAGGACTAGTAGCATATTTAAGTTATTGAGAGTTACTCAAGCATTTTTGAAGATAATAAATTTAAAAACTAATTTCACGTGCTTGGAAGTGTGGATTACACCAGAGAAACTGCTTTTAACAAGAAAGAAGGTTGTGAGATTACACTCACTGCTTCTAATATTGAATGGTTTTTTTGTAGTAGAACCAGAGGTACAATGAAGAAATATGTTGGAGAATAAATTTTCATAAAATAAGAATCTTTCATCACATGCATAGCCCTCCCCTCTTGTGTGTTCGTTCTATAACCCTATGTTATGCATACACCCTATATATCTTCATATTCTCTGGCTCTGTTTTGGCATAGCTGTAATGCCTTCTTAGGGAGCACTCTTTTCCTCTTGGTACAACCTGAAGTTTAGAATGCTGTGCCGAAAAGTGGGAGGGAATGGCTTTGAGTGTTAGGCTTGGGACGCTGAGCACAGATCTGTTCCCTTGACAGATGATCTAACCACTGTGTTTTGTAGTCCTGTAAACAAAGAGAGGAGTTAAAATCCACTCTGAGAATACTGAGATTTTATAACTGGTTAAAAAGTAATTTGAGATTCTGATTTATATTATGTTGGTTTCACATCAAATGATAATTTTAACTCATGTAACATGACATGTTACAGTGTACATGTAATATGTTAAACAACATGAATCAAAACTGAAGTTTTGTATTTTCAGGTGTAATAGTGCTTTCATGGTACCCACCAGGTATGGCTGATGAAAATGGAGAACCAACTGATGATTTGGTGCCTGTTATTTTGGACTATGCACACAAATATAATCTAAAGGTAAAGTATTTTTAGATGATAAAATAGGACTAATTAGGATAGTAAACCTTGATAAGAGTTTACTACTTTGACTCAAGGTATAGAGAAGGGAAACCTGTCATATAATGGTGGCTTCTGTTTCTGTCTCCTATTATACTGCACTTCTTTTGGGTCACAGAAACCTTTGAATTGCACTGAATTTTGGTAGGACCTGAGAAATTGCCTTATAAGTAAAATAAATACTGTAATTTGCTTTAGGATGCAGAATCTAAGGTATAGTGTTGAGGGTATTTATTTTTCTATTTCTTTTCAGGAAACAGTTTTTAAAATAAGACGAAATGTTGTTTCCCAGTGAGGCTTAGCAGTTGAAGGAAGTATTACATTTCACAAAATACTTTGGAATACAGTGGTCTATAAACTAAGGAACTTGGAGAAACAAGAAGAACTGTCTTCATGTTTTGCATTTCATAACTTGCTGGTACCTCATCACAGAGATCAGGAGCAAGTATTTTAAGTAATAAAGGCAGATTTAGAAGATCTAGTTTGAATGAATGTCTTTATTCCAGAAATTACCAGGAACTTTTGCCTTGGACTGTAAGATCAGAGACATGCTGTTCTGACTTTATGGTTATTCCAGGGCATGACAGGATAGAAAGGCTAAGTTACTATCTTCTTGAAATAGGTGAAATATCAGGTAAATTTAAGATTATGTGAATTGATCAGTAGGATCTAAAATTGTCCCTTGATTATTTTTTATTTTATTTTCAGAATAAAACTTGTGTTTTCCTTTTGTGATAATGAAAATGTGCATTGCATTTTAATCTTGCCAAGTCATAAATTTAAATTTTTAAGTACCTGTATATGTTTTATCTCTGGAGGGTGTTGCTGTACTCTGTACTGAAAACACAGCCTTTTCATAAGCTCTGGTTTTAGTTGGTCACGCAAGTTGCAGATTCTCAGAGAAATTTCCTGTCACTGGGAGCAACTGTATGTTCCTTGGCAAGCAGGAGGAAAATAGGAAGATTAAATCAGATACAGAAGTAATTTTGAAACTGTTAAAAATACTGTGTGAATTGCGTTATGGGATATAGGTTGCACTATGTAATAGCAAACTATTAAAATGAAAGAAAAAAGTATTTTCAGATCATCACCTTGCTCTCACCTAAAGAACTTGTTAACATCCAAGTATCAAAGGAATCAAGGAAAAATGAAATAAGCTACCTAGGAAAATGCATGTAATAATGTGGTAATGATTGGAATATGAATGAAGCTACTGTTACCGCTTGGAATAATTACTGGAATACAGATTTTTAGTGTAGGTACTACTAGGAAATGCTACTTGTCATGTTTTTAAACATTCTTGCATTAGTAAGCTATTACAGTAAGTGTTAGGAGTGTCAGTACACCAAAACCAATATCTAAAATACATTTCTATTATATCTACTAAATAAGTCTGTGAAAAGATATGCCCCTTTGATTTGCCTAGTTTTGATAGTAGGAAATGAAAGATGAAATTATAGTGCTCTTCAGACTGTACTGTCCATCCTAGTGATTTAGTCTGATACTCTTTTTCTATTGTTTCTACTTAATAGAAATAGATATTGGCTCTGCAGTGGAAATTTTCTACTGTTGCAGAGTTGTCAAAGACTTTATTAAATGCATTTTGTTCTAAAATTGCTTCTGAAAAACTAGTTGCTTTGATCAATGTAATGTACTCTTCCATAATTGTATATTTGAAAACAAATGCGTTTTTACGTTGGAATTACTTCACATATATAGGTTAATTAATTCCATAAGCTCCAAACTTGACATTCAGAGCAGTAGCAGTACATTATATTAGATTTAGTTGCAAGACCTTATTGCTCTTGATAAATCTATAAAATTCTAAATTAAAGTTTTCATATCTCATATCTTAAAATTTATTTTGACACTGAAAACTATCCGTGGAGCATTATCTATTGAAAATTTAATACATTGGTTAGAAATTAAATATTAAAATGTTTCATTAGTTAATCGATTCTTTGACATTCAAATAATTAATATTTTATTTCCATTTTTCGTTTCTGTAGTTTTTCAAGTTTTCCGAAGCATCATCACCACTTGCTAGGGAATACAAAAGCAGTGTTGTTTTAATGTAAAACCCCTAAATACTAAAAACCCTCTAATACTAATCTTCCTGGGATCTGAAGCTTCTAATCTTAACAGCGCAGGAGTTGTACTGATGAAAATGTCTGGTCTGTAAGGAAGAAGTATATTTTTTGTGACTGGTACTTGCTTCATTTAATACACGGGTGCCTGTATATTCAGTAGTGTTTTACATTTGTGTTGCTTTTATGTTTCTACCTTTCAGGTCACTTTTCATATTGAACCTTACAAAGATAGAGATGATCGCAGTATGTACCACAATGTCAAGTACATCATTGACAAGTGAGTCATTTTGGGATGGTTTCCTTTGGGGTTTGTTACGTGCCGGTTTAGGGGACGTACGTATATGATCTAAAGGTTGTAAGAATATATAAAGATCTACTGAGACTGAAGAGAATTGTAAGGAACTTTGTTCATATTTCAGTGGTGCAAAACTCAGTCTGTTTTTTAAATATTAAAGTGTGAATTTTACATAGATACTCAAATGTAAGTTGCTTCCAATGTTCATTAATACTTCATTAATTCTACAAGTCATGATACTTCAGATTAAAGCATTTAAAATATTAGCCACATGATATATAAATTAAATATACATTTTTATAGTGACAAACTAGCACCTACAGCTTTAATGCGTTGACCTCTAATGATTTTAATTCATCTTGACAAATTCTGTGTAGCTACTAGTTGTTTTATTTGTCAGTGCTACTTAGACTGTCTTATTTCATACTGAATAGTAGAATTGCCCTTCAGAGGAAACTGGTACCTGTAGCACAATTTGACGCTAAGTTACTGTCGCGGTTTAACCCCAGCCAGCAGCGAGGTACCACGCAGCTGCTTGCTTACTTGCCCCTCCCTCGCCCCATAGCTCTGTGGGTGAATGAGAAGGAAAAGGTAAACTTCATGGGTTGAGATAAGAACAATTTAAAGGTTGAAAAAAAATAGTATTACAATAATTACGCTAACAGTATTATTAGTAGCGTTAATAATAAAGAGAAGGAAAGAGAGTAACAGAACCCAAGATGAATTGCTCACCACATGCAGACCACTAGGCCAGCCCTGAGCAACGCTCAGCCCCATTCCAGGTAACTCCCCCAATTTATATACTGGTCATGGCATTCTGCAGTATGGAATATACCTTTGACCGCTTCAGGTCAACTGTCCTGTCCATGCTCCCTCCCAGCATTTTGTGCAGCTCCTCACTGGCAGAGCATGAGACACTGAGAAGTCCTTAGGGTAAGCACTACTTAGCAACAGCCAAAACATCAATGTTATTCTCATACTAAATCAAAAAAACTACAGCCCTTTAGCAGCTACTAAGAAAAAAACTAACCCTATTCCAGCTAAAACCAGGACAGTTACTAATTTGTAGTAATTGAAAGGTTCTTTGAAGATCTCATTATTTGATTCTTCAGCAAACACTGGACTGAAAGTGGATATGAATTGCCATGTTTTGAAGTCCATGCCCTATCTATTTAAATTAGTTTTCAGGAAAAGTCTTCAGCTCAGATTGTTCAACAGTATTTTCCAAATGTCAAATTTTGTCTTAACGATACTTGTTTTTTTTGTAGATATGGAGGCCATCCAGCCTTTTACAGGCATAAGACCAGCACAGGCAGATTTCTTCCCATGTTTTACGTTTATGATTCTTACGTAACAATTCCTGAAATATGGGCAAATCTGCTAACTGTTTCTGGATCCCAGAGTATTCGAAATACACCATATGATGCGTTATTCATTGCACTTCTTGTAGAAGAAAGACATAAGCATGACATTCACAGAAGTGGTTTTGATGGAATGTACACGTACTTTGCCACCAATGGCTTCTCCTATGGCTCATCTCATCATAATTGGGCAAGTTTAAAAGCCTTTTGTGATAGTAACAACTTAATGTTTATTCCAAGTGTGGGCCCAGGCTATATTGATACCAGTATCCGACCATGGAACAACCACAACACCCGTAATCGTGTCAATGGGAAGTACTACGAGACTGCCTTCAGCGCAGCCCTTCTGGTGCGACCGGAAATCATCTCTATTACATCTTTTAATGAATGGCACGAGGGAACTCAGATTGAAAAAGCTGTCCCTAAACGGACTGGACAGGTGGTTTACCTTGATTATAAACCACATAAGCCAAATATTTACCTAGAGCTAACTCAGAAGTGGTCTGAGAAGTACAGAAAAGAACAAGAACAGTGGCTTATGTGAGCTGTCCCTGCTGCAGTTGTTTCCTAATACATTGACTATATTGAGAAAGAAATGGAGAGCTGAAGAATCTCTTATTAAATGTCTTTATTATATCTGTTGAATGTATATGCACTACTACTGAGTTTTAATTTTGAAAAGTAAAAAGACTATGAGAATATTGGCAATTCTGTGTTATTGGATATTTTATTTCAAGAATGTTCAGGGAAATCTGAAAGGTTATTTGTTTCTTTTTTTAAACTTCATAACTTGCATGCTGAGCTTTCAGAACATCTGCATGGGATAACTCTACATGACCAAAGTATTTAAAAAAGTTGGCATAGTTCTACTTCCTTCCTTTATTCTTGTAGTTATGTTTCTAATAAAAGTGATGCTGTAATCCTAAATTTTTATGCTCATAGCTTCTTGCAGGATGCATGTCTATGCTGTATGGAATAATCTACATCTACTGTTTTAATGCTTTGCACACAGGGACTTCTTAACATATGACTAGCTTGTGGTGAAAGCACTGAAGAGGTATGTGTGATGCAAAATCACTGTGTTTTTTTGAAAAAAGTATTTGAAAGAAAGTTCCAAAGAACTGCTGAAAGACTTCTAGTTTACTTACATTTTTTCTGTTTGGTACGTGGTGTAGACTTTTGCAGATTACTGGGTATTGACCAAGAACTTTTTTTTTTCTATATTACTTTGAATTTTAAAAAAATAATGTTTGGAACAGAGTAGAAAAATTTTTTTTTGAGTGGGAAAAACTCCTAAACTTGCAAAAAATGTACTAAACCTTTCAATGTCAAATTTTGTCTTAACGATACTTGTTTTTTTTGTAGATATGGAGGCCATCCAGCCTTTTACAGGCATAAGACCAGCACAGGCAGATTTCTTCCCATGTTTTACGTTTATGATTCTTACGTAACAATTCCTGAAATATGGGCAAATCTGCTAACTGTTTCTGGATCCCAGAGTATTCGAAATACACCATATGATGCGTTATTCATTGCACTTCTTGTAGAAGAAAGACATAAGCATGACATTCACAGAAGTGGTTTTGATGGAATGTACACGTACTTTTGCCACCAATGGCTTCTCCTATGGCTCATCTCATCATAATTGGGCAAGTTTAAAAGCCTTTTGTGATAGTAACAACTTAATGTTTATTCCAAGTGTGGGCCCAGGCTATATTGATACCAGTATCCGACCATGGAACAACCACAACACCCGTAATCGTGTCAATGGGAAGTACTACGAGACTGCCTTCAGCGCAGCCCTTCTGGTGCGACCGGAAATCATCTCTATTACATCTTTTAATGAATGGCACGAGGGAACTCAGATTGAAAAAGCTGTCCCTAAACGGACTGGACAGGTGGTTTACCTTGATTATAAACCACATAAGCCAAATATTTACCTAGAGCTAACTCAGAAGTGGTCTGAGAAGTACAGAAAAGAACAAGAACAGTGGCTTATGTGAGATGTCCCTGCTGCAGTTGTTTCCTAATACATTGACTATATTGAGAAAGAAATGGAGAGCTGAAGAATCTCTTATTAAATGTCTTTATTATATCTGTTGAATGTATATGCACTACTACTGAGTTTTAATTTTGAAAAGTAAAAAGACTATGAGAATATTGGCAAATCTGTGTTATTGGATATTTTATTTCAAGAATGTTCAGGGAAATTTGAAAGGTTATTTGTTTCTTTTTTTAAACTTCATAACTTGCATGCTGAGCTTTCAGAACATCTGCATGGGATAACTCTACATGACCAAAGTATTTAAAAAAGTTGGCATAGTTCTACTTCCTTCCTTTATTCTTGTAGTTGTGTTTCTAATAAAAGTGATGCTGTAATCCTAAATTTTTATGCTCATAGCTTCTTGCAGGATGCATGTCTATGCTGTATGGAATAATCTACATCTACTGTTTTAATGCTTTGCACACAGGGACTTCTTAACATATGACTAGCTTGTGGTGAAAGCACTGAAGAGGTATGTGTGATGCAAAATCACTGTGTTTTTTTGAAAAAAGTATTTGAAAGAAAGTTCCAAAGAACTGCTGAAAGACTTCTAGTTTACTTACATTTTTTCTGTTTGGTACGTGGTGTAGACTTTTGCAGATTACTGGGTATTGACCAAGAACTTTTTTTTTTCTATATTACTTTGAATTTTTAAAAAAATAATGTTTGGAACAGAGTAGAAAATATTTTTTTTTGAGTGGGAAAAACTCCTAAACTTGCAAAAAATGTACTAAACCTTTCACTGTTGTTTATTGTCTGCTAATTGACTGCAGATACAGATCTAGTGTGTTTTTTTAAAATGTTTAAGCTTTCTAAACCTAATACCTTACTAGTCCTACAATAAATATGATTGTAGGAAATACTTTTTTTGTTTCTAATTTAGGAACAGCCTAGTTTGGTAGCAACTAGGTAGCAACATGACAGCAACTACCCATTAGTTTAATTTGAAATCTGAGGTTTCTATTTTTCATATAGTTTATTTAGTTGTTCCAGGATTCAGAATAGTAGATACTAAAATCTTGCTGCCATTCAGATGAGCACCCTACCAATGCTACCTGTAAAGCTGTGGTATTGCTGGAAATGAGTACTTTAAGTCCTAAGAATCTCACCTTTTATATGTTATGATTAACTGGGTTTTGTATGGGATTTGAAAGGTTCAAGTCACACCAACATATCTCCTCAGCAGTCCTTTTTTTGGGCTTTTCATAGAATTTCATAAAATCCTAAACTTTGGATTAGTAGAAATTGCAGTGTTTTGTTTATTTGCAGGAAGTGTCTAATCCATAGCAAGAAGGATTTTTAAAAAATTGTTTATTTTATTTTTTAATCTATATATAAGGTGCTGATCCTGTGGTTTAGTTCATATACTGAAACTGTTTTGACCACTAGTAACCACTAGAATTCCATTGATTTCAGCAGGACCCATGAAAATCACATTCTTTACTCAGTTCTCACTGTGATCTGTCCATGAAGTTGTAAGCTGAATGTGAGGACTTCTGGTTAAAAAAAGAAACCAAACCAAACCACTATGTTTTTTTCCAGAAAACCTTCTCATTCCAAATAAACATAAACCGGTTACTACTAATATTTTTTAGAGCCTTTCTGGTATGAAAAAGGATTGCTTATGTATCTCTCACTTATTTACAGTTTAGTTCTTTTGTCATTTCTCTGCAGTTGTTCAAGAGATGAGGTGTCATATAATGCCCGTAGCTGCTTGAAAAAAGTGCAGAAATTGGGTGACAGATATATAACCTGGCGTGTTGAAGTGTGCCTCTAGAGTTGTTGCAGTCTTATTAATCTCTCTTTGTATTTTTTTTACATTTTCCTACTTCATGTCTGTGAGGTCTGAAATGCTTCTGAAAGAAATGTTTACTCATGGTTATTTTATTTTACTTATACTCAAGTGGATAAACTGACATAGACATAGGTATGACCACAGTCACAAAATAGTGTCTTAGACATACGAAGCACTTGTTCTAACTACTTCCAGCTTAACTACTCCCTTTATTAAGGAAAATGATATTACTTATTTTACTATAAATCCCCTAAATAGCTATACATAATTTGTTTTTATAATTTGTTGTATGTTTATGCCTTTACAACCCAAATAATCCATTTATTTATTTTAGATGTGAGGGAACAATTACATTTTTTGCACGTGTTATTAAAAAATCTTATGAAATCAGACCTTTTGAAAGAACAAGTATCTTTGTTTTCCCTTTGCTTAAACTTTTGTGATCCACTGGTCTTTTCTCGCTACAGTTGTCTGAGCACTGTACTGATCTTGACAACTTTGCACTCACCTTTCAGCTCTTTCTTTCTGCCAGGGGCAGTTTATTTTCTCTGTGACAATAAAAGTCACTCCTTTGTTGCTGTGTACAGAAACATTTGAAATTTATTGCAGAGTATTGTGCAACTGAGATGATCTATCTTGTTTCAAATACAAATCATGATAACAATGTAATAGATCTTCATTCCTCGGAAAGACTTTTGTAATTGCTGTAAAGGTATCATTTAGCCCTTGTCATGAAGTGGTTCAGGCCTTGGCACAGTGATATCTAATGAGACTTTTAAAAGAATTTACAGAATTTCTTTAGAAAAAAAATGGAAATTAAGTGCCTAGAAATTCATCACCCCTGAACACTTACTGTATTTTTATGTGCTTGAAATGTTTTAAAACATAAATATGCAACCAGATATAATATTTCAGAGTTGTGAACTGAATTTGATGATGCTAAGGAAAGATGATAGAATAGGAGCTACTAGAACTACCCTACCTGCTTGTCCAATATTTCCTCTGTACATAGAGCTAGATAATTACAGTGCTACTTCTTGTTATATAGAATGGAGAGTTTTGCTTACAGACTGTTGCTGCAGTCATGATAATTTTTAAAATTTGAGTAAAAATAGGTCTGTGGGAGACGATTGGTACAAATGCAAATAAATAAGATTGTTAATAAAGGCACAGTTACTGGGGTGAGGGAGAAGAAACATGAATATATTTAGGAAAATGGTTACTCCAAGCTTTAAGGTTATAGTAGAGGAAAAAAGATGTGCTACCAAAACTAAGAGGAAGAGAAGAACATTTGTAATAATTTTGAGATCTGAAATAGAATTTAAGGAATATCCAGATCCTATTTCAGTTTGGCTTCCAACTCCTTTTATTTCTTGACAAATTGAAAAAAAAATATTGTAATGATTGTTTTTAATATTTTTTACACCGATTAATTGCATTTGACCCATCTTGTTATGGTATTTTATAGTACTTGGAGTCATATACTAGATTTATACTAGATTAGGCAAGAAACACTGGGAAGTTTTGTAAGAGATCATGCCATGCTATGCCTCTAGAAATACAGAAATACCTGTAGTAATCAATCACATAGTACTGACTGAGCATTCTCAGAGGGGAAATGATTTCTGAGAAAAGTAGCAAGTCTTTGTGGTAAAAGAGAGCATAGTTTTAAAAGTAAATCTGTAGCTTCATTTCTGTTTCTGTCAGTTGTGATCAAGTAAATTATTTGAGTTCTGTGAGCTGTCTCAGAACTGAAGCTTAATACATCAACTCTGGAATAAGAATATGCATTAAATTTTATATAGTAGTGCATGTTTCTCAGATCTATAATCTTGTACTGAATTTTGTGGGAAAACGTGCATATGCTGTTACTATTTTAGTGGCAAGCTGTAAATTATTGTGAATATACTTTCTGTACTGATGTTCATCATATTTGTCTAGTACATTTCTTTTGAGGTGCAAATAATTTGTCTCTTAAGAGGTGGTTGAAGCAGAAGGTTCTTTAGTGGAAGCATTTTTATTATAAAACTCGATATGTATATGCTCTGCATACTTTGAATTAACACATTTCACACGTGGCTCTTGTGT